CTTTGGTGGCCACGTTGTGGCCAATGGCAGATCGTCCTTCTTTGTAGAAAATACACTGTACAGTCTGGGGGTGACAGGGCGTCATGTAGACAACTCACTCTCAAATGCATCTGGAAAAGCTTTTTGTGTGCTGAACTTGCAACTTTTATGTCAGTTTGTTTCAAAACATTTAAAAAACAATATATACAGTATTATTCCATTTATATGAAGTTTAAAAATAGGTAAAACTTAGGCCGGGCACAGTGGCTCACACCTGTAATCCTAGCACTCTGGGAGGCTGGGGCGGGCGAATTGTTTGAGCTCAGGAGTTCGAAACCAGCCTGAGTAAGAGCGAGACCCCCGTCTCTACTAAAAATAGAAAGAAATTAATCGGACAACTAAAAATATATAGAAAAAATGAGCCGGGCATGGTGGTGCATGCCTGTAGTCTCAGCTACTCAGGAGGCTGAGGCAGAAGGATTGCTTGAGCCCAGGAGTTTGAGGTTGCTGTGAGCTAGGCTGACGCCACGGCACTCTAGCCCAGGCAACACAGTGAGACTCTGTTTCAAAAATAAATAAATACAATACAATAAAATAAAATAGAATAAAACCTAGACTCCAGCCACAACCATATGGACTTTGCCTGATGAGACCCCTGCCTTTCTCCCTCTGGGGCCAGCCCTCCTTCACTCCTCACATCACTCCCACACTGCCTGGCTTTGTGTCCCTGTGAACTTGCCCCCCGGTTCCTGCCTCAGGGCCTTTGCACTTCCCGTCCCCTTCCTGGCATGCTTGCCTGGGGCTGCTCCCAACGCAGGGCATCACCCAAGTCTCAGCTCAGAGGTCTTCACTGGCCACCCGTCTGAAATGCCCCCAACACAGTGATGTTATGTCATTTACCTCACTTAAATCCCTTCCGTGGGGACAGGGACAGTGATCTCTTATTCACACCCAGGGTCTAGGCAGATACCTGACAAAGGGTGGGACCAATACTGCCGTAAAACCTGTTGAATGAGGACCGATCGTGGCTGGGCCGTTCTTGAGGACGCTTAATGAATGTGTTCCAATATCAAGTATGAGAACGATTGTGGCAAATCTGTCTTTATTTCTCCATCATCCTGCGTGGAGGATAAGGACCTAGCACCGGAGGGAAGGGCGAGGCAGCCGTGGCTGCGTTTCTCAGAGAGGACCGGCACCTGCGCGAGCCGTCTGCGGCAGGATCTCGTCCTCCCGGCAGCCCATTTTGGAGTTTTCCTGTTGTCAACTCAGTTGTGCTCGTATCTAAAGTAGAATGTTTTTGTCACTTGATCGACAGCCCTTTTGTTAGAAATGTTAATTTGTGTTTAACGTTTTCTATCATAAGAAAGAATTCAAATCGCCACTGCAAAGAACATAAAAAAACTAGAATAGAATTCCGGCTTCTCTTCGTTAAAAATGAGTAATTGTCTTTGGACATCGATTTAACTCAAGTGTAGAAAAACCGTTTGAAGTGGCCAAGTTTGATTGTTTATCGGATCTCAGGGCCTTGATTACCGAAGACAGCAGCAAAACTAAGCCTGGTTTCTGAGTGAGCTGCACCCTTTGTTTAAGTAGATGGCGGATCTCAGGCAGCTACAAGTATTTTGCATTTGATCCTTTCTGCCAAGTTCCCTTTGCTTGTGTAAATGAATGCATTCCAGCTGAAAATCGAGGGATTAATAATTACGCTCTAAGCTCAGTAAAATTCTTCTGTGTCACTGCCATTTTCTCTGTTTGGTGCATTTTCCCAGAAAAATAACAAGGCAACCTCACAAATACATCAGGAAGGGAGTTTAAATTTAGCTGGTGCAGCTTCCTCTCCCCGAGCCCTGTGACTCACCTCCACCCCCCAGGGCCCGTCCTGCTGCTGCGGACCTGTCGCAATGGGCTCCGGCCAGCCCTCCCCAGGCCCTGGACTCGGTGCCCTCCCTTCCCATGCGCTTCCGGCAAGGTGGTTATCCCAAAGAATAATGCTGCAGGCTGGTTATCAGAACGTGCGAGCAGACCGGAAGACCCCACTTCTGTAACTGCCTGGGCGCCCCGCAGGACATTGCTGTCCAGGGGAGAACTGAGCTGGCAACTCCCAGAGGCTGACGAAGGAGGCAGGATTTTCATACCGCCCAGAGCCAAACGTGTGTCCTGCCCAGTGCCATATGGAGGGGTGTAACGCCTCTCTGCACTGACGGAAGAGAGACAGCTGCCACCGTCTCAAGCTCTAACCAAAGGGCTCTGAGTGGGCCCTATCCGATGGAGAAGCAGTTTTACGTGTCAAATAAGCAGTAAGAGAGACCACAGAAGACATATTTGCCAGTGAGGCAGGTTCAAAAAAATAAATAAATAAAATACATTTAAAAAGAATTGACTAGATGTGTAGGATCAAATGCTTTAGGTTTGAAGTTCGAGCTTCCTTTTCTTTACTGTCCTCACAGTCGGGTACAGACCCGGCTTTGCAGGCTCAGCAGTGCCAAGACGGGGGCGGGGATCGTTCCAGCACCTGGGTGAGGAGCACACACCTCATCTGAAACCGTTATTGATTCTGAATGTCTCACCAAAGTCACGCTTGGGGAGTGGGGAGGCAGCCCAGGCAGCTGCCGGTTAGACTGTTATTTTTAATGAAAGCACCAGAGTCCCGCATCGTGGACTTCTGACACTGAGGAAACAGATCGCTACTCTCACCTCCTCATTTTGTAAAGGAAGAAAACAAAGCCAGGAAAAATGACTTCCCTGAGGTCACACAGCCAGCTCAGAGCAGAGCTGGGCCCAGCAGCCTGACTGCTGACTCCGGGGAGCACGGCTCGAATTCTCCAAGGGCGAGGGAATCGGTCCCTTCCGTCTCAGGCAGGAAGCTCCCTGCGGTGGGGCTGCCTCGGCCAGCGGCAAGCCGCTCAGACCCCGGCTCCTGACCCTCCAGTGGATTTCCCGGTTCTGGAGTAGCCGGAGCTTCTCCAGGCGGAAGACGAGGATGAGGAGGCCGACTGGTCGTGCACATTGGTGGAACAGGACCAAAGCTCAGAAATGGCGACTAATGCTCAAAAAACTTGAAGAAGGAATACTGAAAATTCTTCAGATCCAAACTGAAACACTAATGACAAACAATGCAGAACGGAAACGAAACGTGTAGACTCTGGGGGAAAATCAAACCTCAGAGACATCCGTGAACGTTGGGAACGATATTTCAAGTCTAAGGTGTCTGCAGGTGATCGCTTCACCTGCCTCTCTGTGGTTTTGAAATTCGTTTGCCTCCAGGACGAAAGGAAGAGATTTGATGCCACCAACAGCCAGGTCTGTGGCTAAGATGCCTGTCCAGCTTAGCCAGAGCTACGTGTGACAGGACATCCCACAGGCAGAGTTCGTATTAATTTTAGGGCCCCAGATAGTGAAGTGTAGAAAATAGCGGCAGAGTCTGGTTCATCTTGACCAAACTGGGTCGAGCGAGTCACGGTCAACGGTGTCCTCAGAGGCTATGAGCACGGAGCCCTTCTCAGATACGGAAAGGGGATGACACAAACCCACCTCGCTGCATGTCCCCAGGCTCAGGGCTGAGGGACGGCGTGCCCTGCACTGTCCTGAGGCCGAGAAGGAGGTGCTGGCCCAGGGCAGTGCTATACTACTCCAGGCCGGTGGTATTCCTGCATTTATCCAACACCTATTGCACGCCAGACACTAGGAAGGGCCTGCTCTGGAGGGTGACGAGACAGCACCGTGGACGCCCACACTCTGGCAGGCCGCCAGGCCAGGCTCTGGGCACTCTTCACAGATCAACTCCCAGCCCTCCCGACGAGCCTGTGTGGAAGGGACAAGGGGAACCAGGCCGCGGGTGCTCAGAGGGAGCTGTGCAGAGCACCACTCAGACCCGGCCGCGGGGACACAGAAAGGCCAGTGCTCCCCCCACAGGAGCCACCCTAGGTGGGCGGGAGCAGCCCAGGGGGTCTGGATTTAGGAAGGCAAGCCGGGAACCAGCCCCTTCCTCCGCCGTCCATACCAAGCATGGGAAAATCCCGCCCTGTGCTCTGCTCCCGGCCATGGTCATCCAGGGGGACTTACCCACTCCAGAACAAGTTTGCCCACTTTTAAGTGTTTTCATGAGAAGTTCGCTTTATGCTGCTGTCAGGAGTCCAGAAGTGAATAAAGGAGACTTAACGATGATTGAAGTGTATGATCAGCTTTTCAAGGAAACTGCAGAAAAACTTTATGTTTAAAAGAAAGAGGACAAGATATGCCAGGCCCTCAATTTCTTAGCTCCTGGGGTGGGAGGGCGGCTCTCACGGTCGCTGGAGCGCAGCCGCCCGCCGGCCCGTGGGGGGTGGCCGGGGTGGGGGCAGCGGAGCGCAACGGCTGCCACCCC